CATTCAGAATGCCAATTACTAGGAAAATCAAAATCACAATTTTTTAAGCAGTTAAAGTTACAAAAATGCTGTGGCTTGGCTCAATCAAGCTTCAAAAACCAGATCCTCAAAATTTTCATGTTTTGCTGCTTTTCTTCATGATGATATTATCAGAAACTCAAACCTTTGAAATAATTACTCCTAGAAATGTCAGGATAATCTTATTGTCAGAACAGTGATGGAGTAAGGTTATTGATAGACGCTCTATCAACATAGCAAAAAATTTCCAGAGTTGAGTGGAAGTTGAAATTTGTAATTATCAGTTTAAGAGCATATCTGCTTTCTCAGACAACTGATTGGAACTTCCGCAGAACGTTTGGGGAACTTCTGCACACTGCGGAAGTTCTGCAGACGTGCTATGGAGATTTCCAAATGAGGTGCTGCGGAAGTTCCGAACAATGCGAACCACAACAGCAAAAGAGAACACCTAGAGATTTGAACCTTACTCTTTTGACTGCGAGACTCACCTACTACCCTCTGCACTACGAATGAGATATTCGGTAATGCACTCTGTTTGTTGCCGAGGCCATCTACGAGACAACATTTCAAAACCCTGCGGAAGCACTGGCATGTCAAAGCGCTGCGGAACCGCTGGCATCGCGGAAGTTCCGCAGTGCTTAGTAGAAAGTCCTGAGGAAATTCCCGTTTTCAACCAGTTTGACGTTGAATCCTGCGGAAGTTCCCATTTTCAACGTATCCACTACTGCAATAGTAAACACCTGCGGAACCGCTGCAAATTTCGTTTTCCTGCGGAAGTTCCGGTGAACTGTCTGTGTTAACATCCAAATGTCTTCAAGGCTGGCTTCGGAGAATGCTTGCTAAAAAAGGAAAAAAAGATTCCATCAAAAACAGCATAAACAGTTAAATGAACATTGTTCGTTAAAATTTGGCGATCAGTCAAGAAAATGTACTAAAAACGTTCCAGACACTGTCTCATGTTTACGACTACCACAAAAACTTTGTATAATTTTTATAATTTTGGTGATAAAACCATCAAACTTTTTCCGCACCTTTAAACATGCGTCTTACGATGGTAAAAAGGCAGTGAAGCAAAGAAGGTTGTTTAGAAGATAACAATCTTTGAATAGGGGCTCCCTGTCAAGTAAACTGATGAAAAAAGCAAAAGAATGATTAATGAAGAAGAAGCAAAGTTGTTGTTTTTTTGTTAGCATGATACCGTTCCATACAATCATTCGGTTGGGCCACCATTACATTACCATTACTATCGTCACCGTTTATTCACAGCCCTCTGTTCTGAGCCAATCATTGGTCATCTGACTGTCATTTATTTGGTAGGAACCTAGGTCTTGCACAGAATTTTTTATCATTTTTATTTCATGAAGTCTGCATTTCTCATTACTTGACAGTATATTATTTTATACGACAGAATATAATTTTTGTCATAGCAGGCGCTTCTCTGAGGACATGAGTAGGTAAATAAACAAATAAACAAAAAATTAGGAAGAAGATTTGAGCAAAGATCAATGTTTCATATTCGGTGATAGAAACTGTTCGATATAAATTTGGTTTCTTTATTTCGATCGTAAAAAATGCATGGTCCAACAAATTTTGATCTTAATTTTACTTTGTGTTCTATGACTTTTTTCAATAAAATAATTCGTATTAAACAAATGCCTGTACAAAAAAGTATCATTTTTTATTTTCGAATTCTGGTTTTGCTCAAAAGAACAATTCTGATAATTACATGATCTATATGTTAAATATTGTTATAAGCAGGGGGAAGATATAGTGCAGATTTAGTAAAAGATGTTCGGCTATGCTTTGAAACTTTCAGTTTTATGGATTTTCTAAATAAATGAAAATTTCTATTAATACTCAAGCTCTCACTTAATGGCCGCCACCGTAAACATCTACCTTTTCGAATTTTTGTGCAGTTTTTTCTCAATTTTTTGGTCTTTTGTGCTATTTTTCGATCTTCAAAGATCATAAGACGCTTATTGAAGGTTTCAAAGCTTTGTCAAACATCAGCGATGTCTTGCGTTGTGTATGCTGAGACTAACGGAATCGATCGTAGAATGAGAGAGAGGGTGTTGCGAGTGCTAAGCTGAACTCACTGAACCTACGTCATGACATCGGCTGTCCGATTACCCTTTATCATGCTCTGAGTTTTTTTTTTTCTGAAAAAAATTTTGATTTCGCTTTTTTCCGCACGTTCATCTAATTTTTTGAGTGTTTAACGTTCAAAATAGGTTTCATGATTTTTGGTTGAAAGAGTCCGCAAAAATTTACTTTTTTGTTTCTTTTCCTGCGCGTCTACTGAAGAACTATTCAAGTGTGGTCCTCGTGCCATAGATGGACAACTCGTATGTAGCGATAATGTCGTTCTCTGCTCATATCACACCTACACATCTGTCCTTTGGTCGCGCCATTTATTCAGAACTGTACCGATAATGCTGCACATGCTCCTAGGGTGGCAACATTTTTGAGAAATACGATATGCAATTATTTTGTAAATAAAATATTCAATTTTGCTTTGTCGCTTGAACTCTCTGAACGATTCAGAATCTAATTTTATCGTTCTATATATTCCTGTGACCAGATAATTCCAAGCCTATATTTGCAAGAAAAAAAGCCTTTTATCCGAAAAAAGTAATAATTCACTCGATCGCCTGCAAAAAAGCTATAATTTAGCTGCATTTTTTGCATTATTTAAAGCTAGCCTCTATGCCGTAACATGCGAGGCGAGACAATACGCTAATCTTCCTATCAAAAATTTGTGATTTTTAAACTGATTAAACCATTCAAAAAACTCACAGTTAAATTCCACCGCCCTAAAAACGGATTTCGAGTTTTTTTTAATAATCAAAAAGATTTTCAAAAATCTATATAAAAATTCAAATTAACCTTGTAAAAAATTTTTTTGAGTTTTCTAGATTTAATGGGTTATGGGCAACCAATTTTTGAGAAGCACCCCAAAAATTTTTTCGTAAAGCGTGGCTAACGCCACACACCTTCATTTCAGAAAAAGATTTTGCCACCAACCTCTTTTCTTCCCCAAGCGGAAATCCTGAGACCGCCACTGTTTGGAGCCTATGTCAATACGCAGCAAAAAAATTTCTTTCAATTCATTTATTCAAGAACACATCAATGCTCGAATTTGTTTTCTATTTATTTTTTTCAATCCATTTTTATTTATTTATGATATATTTATTTATCACTTCTATTTATGTATTTATTGGGTTGGCACATAAGTTTTGCAACTTTTCCCGTAACTTTTTTCTTATTTTATGTAGCGATCTCATTTTGTGACCTCTTGTAGACCGTGATGTAAGCTGCAAGTCTGCGCAAACCGTTTGATTTTTGATAACGTAGTACAAAAAATCTAAGCATTTTTTGAAAACTGCTGAAAATCGAGGTTTCACGATTTTTTGGCAAACATGAAGCCCTACGAAACTTGATTCAAACATATGAAAAAGCAATTATAGGCAGCATGTAGCTGAAAGTTGGCACATTGGAATCAGTGAAAAAGAAATGAAATTTGAACACATATTAAGGTGGGGCGCCTTTGAGAATTTGAACAAGTCAAATGCGTCAAGTTTTGAAGGCAATTTGTCAATAACTAAGCTGCGAAAAGTCAGAATTCGCTATAACTTTGCACTATAGGGTAATCCTATGCGGTAAACACGAATATCATAGTCATTTGTCGCTAAAATAAAATTCATCTTTTGATCTCACAAACGAGGCCTTTTCATGCGAAACGGATCTCATTTTTGTGATCAGCATGTTAAATAAGCCCTATAGGGGTTTCAGCAAATTCTGATGCATTCTAAAAAATTTTCCATAGTACCGTAAACCTACCGTAATCCTCACATAAGGTGGTAAAATTCGGCAAAAATGTGTGCATTAGAAGCTTACATCATATTCCTTATATTGCCAAAAAATGAATGCGCTACGTTCAAATAGACAAAATTTATATAAAAAGTTGCATTACTTATGTGCCAACCTAATATTAGTCTATTTGATCTTTCTTTTTTTTCTCACTGTTTTCTTTATGTTCAAATCATTTTCTTGAAATGAACTACGGAGAGCTGGTGGAAAGATCTTTCAAAGAAAGTTTTTCTTATAATATAAATAAGAAAGCAATTTTCAAAAAAGTAAACCAAATGATGGATTATAATCTTTTCTGAAAGTTCGAATTTTTGATAATCAGATAGCTGGACACAGTCAAATTCAAAAAAATTGGCATTTTTGAGGTGTATAATTCGAATACTCTGGACTATTTTCAGTAATTAGTCAATCATTTGCGATATGGTAAAGGCCTATTCGCACGACCGTAATACTTGAAACGCTTCCGTACAAGCACGCCGCATCGCGCGACGCATTTAGCCGCATTCCACCGTAACCTTTGATTCAACTGGCTTGGCAGCTGGAAGGCGGGGCTTTGTGACCTAATTGAGGCCGCTCGCACCCGCTACGCAGTCTGCGTCTCTCTCGCGCGTGTGCAATCCGATCATTATTTAGCCTTAATTAGGTCAAAGAGCCTCGCCTTCCAGCCGCAAAGCCAGTGGAACCAGAAGGTAGGTTTAAAGACGGTGAGGAGAATCTTGCCGCGTGCGCGAGTTTAGAAACCATACCAGTGTAGCAGTTGGGTTCTGTAGTGCAAAATGGCCATTCTCCCAATTTGTTTCTCAAAAAATTTTCGAGACAGCTAATTTTCTTCTACACTGCAAAATGCAAGCTGCTGTTCAGGAAAACTTGCACTTTGCAGCGTTATTTAAAAGTAGCAAAACGCTGTAGCAATCGACATCCTGAATAGAGGACTATTAATTATTGAATTCATTTTACACGAAAAATTGGCGTGTGCATTACAACCCGTATTTTCCTTTTTGCATCTGGCAAGATCATTGTTCTGGATCTGCAGCATTTTTTTTTCAAATCAATCAGCTCTACTCTATCGCTAATCGCAAAACTGAGCTCATTTGCTTATGATAAATAATTTCAGTCCCATCAAATGGGTTTGCGACTCTTAGCTGCACAACAGAAAGCTTTTCTACGAATTGTTCGCTGCACTTCGTCAGGTAAGCATTAGTTTTTGATTTTTTTTAGACTACTTTGTACTGTTTTACCCCTATGTTTTCCCTGGGAAAATCTATACGTCTTTTTTGCGGAGGGGGATTATGTGAACTGCATGCCCCATTAAAAAATTCTCATTCCTCTGCCCCCCTCCTAAGCCCGTTTACTATAGCGAAACACTCCACCCAAAGTCAGCGTCCAAAGTTGACCGTAAGCTGGCGCTACGCCAGCGCCGTGCCGGATCCGTGTCAGCGCCGTGCCGTCATGACAAACCCACTGTATTCGCCCCGTATTGATAGATGTTCTGGCACGGCGCAGGCATGGACAACTCTAGACGCAGCTGAAAAACTGTCTATTTATGTCGTTTCTAACTTACATAGTTATGGAACCATCAAACCACGAATAAATTTTTGCATATTTACGGAATTTTGCAATGTATAAAGGTTAAGATAACAATCTAAGGTAATCTTTTTCCGCTCTTCGTCAAAAAATTTTTGTACTTAACTGGGCCACACTAGATTTCTTCTAACAAAGTGTATCATACCTTTGAAAGTAATCAATGAAATTTTGGAGAAAATTTACTTAATCATGCTTGCATCCATTTCTGTCTACCTAGAAGACTGAGCCTTCAGAAAGGTAACAACGAACGCTAGGAGAGATAGAATAATAAGAAAGCTCGCAGAATTTTAGACGCGAAGAATGTTTTGGTAAGCTTCGTGCAAGTCGTTTCTGCTGTAATGGAAATCGCTGTCCTAAAACCTTCTAACGTGCTCGTAGTCAAGAAGTTCCTCTTCAGCTCACCTTACTTGAGAAAATACCTCTGGACCGATTTCATTTGTGCACTTCATGGGGCATACCCATGAAGTTGAGTGTGACCAATAGCTCACAACTCCTCCTACGGGACCATTTAGCAATTAGGAGGCAGGCGGGAAGTGGCATTTCTAGCTGGTCACAGCGGTGATACCGTTGGGAAAGGTCACTTCATACTCTTTGTGGCCCCTGTCAATAGCGTACGCATAGGAAATGTAGGATTTCCCACGACATTTATACCAGCCCTTTCGACTCCCAGCGCAATAATTGCAACGCATACATGATGTAAAAAAGCATAAAACGCTCTATTTAAAATGTGACACCCATATGATGAATGTTCACAACACGAGATTATGCTATAAAATCCACGAATGAAGAGTGTCATGTTGATTGAAAATATAAAGTGATAGAATTGCTTTGAACATGGGCTAGCCTCAGAACGTTTTTGGAGTTTTTTTTTATATATAAAATTCAGGACTATGATATGATGAATAGAACAGTTTCCGTCACAATCTTGAGAATTCAGGGCAAACCAGAGATGTTAGAGGAAAGGGGTTGGGAATGGGGGAGGAAAAAAATGAGTTTGGTGTGATTAGGACGTTTTAATCTAATACTGTACAACATTTAGCAACGCAGGCAAAGCAAACTCCTGAAACGGTCACTGCTACTGTAGTTCCGAAGAAAATTCTGAAGGAGGAGATTGAACAATGCTACTCGAAGTTGGATCTAACGTTCACAAATACGAAAGAAGCGTTTAAGGTAAGCTGGTTTAGATAGTGTAAAAATATTCAGTATAAAAAATTTGCGCTTGGGAGGTTCTTGGGAAGTTTATAGACATCTTCCCTTCATTACATTGACTTTCCTAGACGAGAACTAATCATGTGGATCTCCTGCACTTCCTTTTTATTCATCAAAAATCGTGATGTAAAATATACTACCCCTTTTTGTCTAATATACACGGCATCAACACTAGCAGCGTTCATGCCGTGTGCTGGCCATGTGCCGGCGCCGTTCCAGCCCCGTGTCAGCTTCATGTGGTACCGTGCCGAAAAAGCATAAACGCTCTGCATTGATTGATTACCACTTCAAGAAGGTTGTGGATGCGGATTTTTCCCAGTGTCTGGTTTTGTCCATTTTGAGATAATTCGCGTCACCCTTACGCAGAAACGGTGTGTACCTTGTAAGAAACAAGATTCAAAAGTCGAGTTTCGGGTCCATCCGCGTCCTGATTTCAGCATTTTAGAGCAAAACAAACCACGAATTACTACGAGGTTATATCGTTCTGCGACTATGTGCTATTGAATCGCTTGTGAAGCATAGCCAGAAGATACTCGCCGTTATTCGAGCAATCCTAGGAAAAAGGCTATTCAAAAGAGTGTTGAAAAGCACATTCTATGGGCAATTCGTAGCTGGAGAGGATCCCAAAGAGGTTTGTTGGTATTTTCTAGGCAATGTGACAAAGTGCAGGGAAAAAAAGAATTTTTTTATTTTTTGCAGATTGAGCCGGTGGTCGAACGACTGAAGCGATTTGGTGTAAAATCTATACTAGATTATTCGGTGGAGGCAGATATAAGTACCGAAGACGCTACGAAAGCAGCAGAAAAATCTAAATCTGCTGCGGAAGTCTCGCCTGCGGTACGTTCTAGGCCGCGGTTAGAGTTGTGATGCCGGCGCCGTGTCAGCGCCCATTTGGAACGCGTCCCGAGTCGATCGATTAACGGCGCCGGCATTTACAACTGCGGACCCAGCTTTACAGGCGTAGAGCCCGCCCTATTCGGCCACTAATTTGTGTAATTGCACCACTTTTTGTAAACGCGAGGAAGCTTTTTCTGGTACTGTTATTTTATGCTGTCTCTCTACTTTACCAGTATGATTCATTGCAGGTCTGGAAAATTGGTTTGATTACACAAAGCAACTGTGTGACCAGCCTTTTTTCTCCGCTTGGAAAATCGTTAAGTCTAAAATTTGCAGGCCTTCCAAAGCAGGGTGCACCCAAAAACGATCAAAGATACCCATGAAAGATACTCAGCACATGATGAATTTGCCGATCGACGAAAAGGTGTTGTTGGTGCTAGGTAAGATAGCCATGTTTGATGAGTTCTTGTTCTTATTCGTTCTCATCGCAATCAAGATCTTGCAACTTTCACTGCACTGCTCAAGGATCTCCAAAACAAGTTCGTAAACACTCATACTCTCTTCACTGAACTTTCTTCTAGATGTTGCAAATGCAAAACAAATTGCACTTTGTTTACAGTAAATTGAAAGTCCGACTAAATACCGTTCCATGACAGATTGGATTGGTTGTGAATCGCGGAGCGCACGCGCCGCACGGTCAAACACTTGTGCCGATACAAATCGCTATTGGACAAGTCGTGCTCTCGTGACAGTTCAGCCGCGCCGCGCGTACTCCGCAAGTCACGGCAAACCAGTGCGTTGACTCGACTATATACAGGGCTTTTCAAAATAAGAGTCACAGCCTCCGCTTGCGCGGCTCCTCCAACGCGGCCGCCTCGCTCAGGCCGCGCGCGGCGTTTGCGGCGCATCGCCCGGGCATTTTGCCAAGCTTCAGTCGACGCGCAGCCTGGTGCATGCGTCGGCGGCATCGATTGACAACTGGCAAAATGCCCGGACGATGCGCCACGAACGCTGCGCGGACCTAAGCGTGGCGGCCGAGCGGGGCGGCTGTGACACTCAGGTTGTAAAGTCCTGTACGTAGTGGAGGGCTGCCAATCTTATATTCGGCAAGCCAAAGTTCGCAGAGGATAAGGGGGAGACAAAAGGAATTTTGATGGGCTGCTTCTCAAAGAATGCTAAGAATCTCAGCGTTTCAACAATGGAGGAAGATTTCACTGAACCTTTTTTTCAGCTGGCGAACAACCACCGATAATGGTCGCTACAAAGACATTGAACTGAGTAGTGACAGTAGGTGTCCTGAAAGGAAAGTGAACAATTCTGAGTGTGACACTCTAGATAGACGTATATAGTCTAATTTCGAACGAAGGCAGTCCACCGAAAAACGCAGAGCGCGCGCGAGCGCGGTTACATCAGCCGTGGAGCGCGAAAGACGCGGAGACGCAATCTTGCGCGCCGCGCTGACGCCCGCTACCATATTTGGGCAACGCCTTCGTCCGGCAGTGAACTAATGTGTGATATTAGAAGTAGAAAAGCTTGAACACCTTACAATTAGTGGATTACTTTGCATGCGGCTAGCACGTGTGTTCATCTCATCACAGTCTATTTCTAGTTAACATACCAATACATCTTACTATGTCTTCTTTGTAGGACCTACTTCTACGAAGGTGAGGAAGTATGCGATCGTAATCGTGACATCTTCATGGGGACTGTTGACGCTGTTGCCGACGCCACCCGTGGTGAAGGCTTTGCTGCGATCAAAGTGACAGCTCTCGGCAGGCCAGCACTTCTGTTGAAGTTATCAGGTAAGGATCTACCTGGGAACGAACGTAACTCAAGCGCTTAGCATCAAGCATTTTTGAAGCGGCATCAAGAGTTATGTGACCGAGAAACTCGAAATCAAGGTTGCTTCTAGAGTTGCCGGTGTCAGCTCCGTGCCGGCGCCGTACCGTAGCATTGATCGATCAATACGAGGCGCGTCCATATAAGTTCCGGCACGGCGCTAACACGGCGCTACCACAGAATGCTGCCACAAATTGATCAGGAATGATTGATGACTCAAAGCATTGCATGCTTTGAATTAATCAGTATTTTTTGCAGAATGCATAGAGCAAGCCCACAATTTCTTCAAAACACTGACAGGAGCGGATAAAATTCAGTTCTCTCGACTCGGTGAATTGGAATTGTCGAAAAAGCTGCAGGTCAAGATCAATTATTTTCACTAGTTTTGAACAAGCAGACAAAATGTAATTCCAGGAATTTGGAGTGAAGGCAGATTCCGAAGAAGTTCGCGAATGGTTCAAGAGTGTCGACTTTGATAATGATGGATATGTAGACTTCCATGGCTGGGATAAAATTCTGGACAATAATGAGAAGCTTGGCAATATGTTCCAGGTAAAGATTGTAGTTTTCTATGAAGTTTAGATTGTAAAATAATTCGCAGGTCCTTGACCTCAAAACAGGACAGATGGAGCCGTTGATCCAAAATCTGAGCGAAGATGAGGAGAAAGAGGTACTACTTATACTCTGTACAACCTGCCAGGTGTGACAGTTAATGCCATGTTCTGACAGAGCCGACAACATTTGTGCGTAAACATAAGGCCATTGTCCGCATTAGGCATTTTTAAGTCGGAAGCAAGCTCTCGGCACCTAAAGCACGGATGGCACTGTTTTCGCGTAAAAATTATCCTTGCTGCAGGGCACTATATTGGGGCTGCGTTCAGAGTTGCCCGCGCCACCGCCGTTCCACGGCCGTGCTAAGGCCTTGCCGGAACTAGATCGATTAGTATAGAGCGTGGGCTACGCGCGCTGACATGACGCCGAAACCGAGCAACGCTGTACGCTGCCTAATGTGTTTTGATTTACTACAATATAGATTCTTACAATTTGTTACATCGAGAGATTTTAGTTTGCAAACATGGTTCGTCGCCTGATCACCATTTCTGAGCATTCCATCAGCAAAGGTGTTCGTTTGATGGTCGACGCTGAGCAAACCTATTTCCAACCAGCCATCTCTCGTCTTTGTATAGAATTGATGAGGAGGTGAACGAAGATTGAATGTTAACAGTTCAGGTATATACCGCGAAATCTAGGTACAATAAGGAAAAGGGCTACATCTTCAACACCTACCAAGCTTATTTGCGAGACACCAAAGATGCGATAGAACGTGATCTACAGCTGGCTAGAAGAGAAGGTTGGCATTTCGGTTTGAAGCTAGTAAGAGGTGCCTATATGGAGCAGGTATGTTTTCCTATTTGTTTACCAAGATAGCTCTACGAGGGTAAGGATTTCAGGAACGTCAACGTGCGTCTGTTATTGGCTATCCAGACCCGGTAAATCCTAACTATGAGGTAACTGAATCTTGTCAAGTTGATTTTGTCTATTTAGTGCGCTTGCGGTACAACATTTCTGCGAGAATAAACGAGAATAATTTGCGAATGCTTATAGCTTTTTGCAGTTTGCGCGCAAAAAATTACTTCAAAGCGCACCTTGCCTAACTTACGCGAGAGTGTCATCGTCAAACAAGAACGTAACCGTCATATACTGTAGGCCACGTCTAAAATGTACCACGACTGCCTGACTCGACTAGCTGATGAACATGATAAACGAGGTAGAGGGACGGTTTCGGTGATGATTGCCAGTCATAACGAAGAAACAGTAAGGTGATAAGAATTTAAACTGCCTTGGAAAGAACGTGCTTGAGTTGAGTTCTGAATCCCAGTATTTTCTAGGTTTGCCGTCAACCTTATGAGGGAACGGGGAATTGCTCCGAGTGAAAAAATAATGTGTTTTGCTCAATTGCTTGGAATGTGTGATCATGTTAGTTCACATATTTTCCCCTTACATGATTCATATCATATTATTCATTTTCAAGATGTCTTTCTCCCTTGGACAAGCCGGATATTCAGTATACAAATATGTACCATATGGTCCAGTAGAGGAGGTCTTACCGTATCTCACTCGTAGAGCCACGGAAAACGGCAGTATATTGAAAAAAGCCACTCACGAGAGAGTAAGTAGGAATTTTTCTAAATCTACTGCTCATTTTTCATAGGATTCGTAGCGCGAAGAGACAGGGCCCCACTGCGGACGCTGTCGGTGTCTCTCAAACTGAACGCATCCTCCTTCCTCTAATCGTCTGTTGTCTCTCCCTAACACAGACTATTATGATCTGACGCAATGGCGCCTAGTCTCTGCGTGCTGGATCGGCTATAGATGAATCATAATGACTTGATTTTCAGGAACTAGATTTTCAGGACCTACTACGATCAGAGTTTTGGCGACGAATGCGTCATGGGCAACTCATTCACCGAGTTCCAGCATCTTAGGACAATCAAGCTTAGAGTGCCTTATAAATTCGACGACTGCCTTCTAAGTGCTTTGCTGTTAGGGTTACCTAAGATCAAAAAAAATTAGGTTAGGGTTGAAATACTTTTCGCTAGAAACACAGATTTAGAAGCTAGACTAGAGCTGAATTTTTTTTTTCGTGGTAATCAATCGAGCTCAGTGATACACCGTTTCGCTAGAAAAACAGATTTAGAAGCTAGACTAGAGATTTGAATTTTTTTCGTGGTAATCAATCGAGCTCGGTGAAACACCGTCTGTTGTTCACTTACGTTGATAAGTGATGCCTGTAGCGTTTCTTTCACACCAAAGTACTCATCAACTTGCTTTTTCGCATAACATGCTCATCTTTGTATCGGTATAATTGTGACTGCACCGGTTCATTCGAAAACGGTTTCTGAATAAATGTATTCAATATCAGTCCCGAACGCATAATGTGAAGGGGTGAATGTGTGGAACAATGTTGAGGAGGACACACTGAGTATAATCGATAATGGGAGATCCTCATAAAAACTGCGCTGATATATTTGAAAACACATTTATTTACTAAAATTTCAAAAACTATGATACAGTGGCGAATCTCATATAAACTGAGATCAGTTGAAACACATGCATATTAGAGCTAAGATTAGGTTAAGTTCGTTAAGAGGTAAAAGTGAAAGAATATGGATTGAAGCACTCTTATTGCTTGATTTAGAACGATCACTGTGGGGTACATCGACTATTTTCTTTTTTGTTTGAGTTTGGCGTTTCTGTCAGCTTAGCAGTTTTGTCCAATTTCTTGTAAAGCGTAGTGTGGAGAGTGCGATTCGGTGTGGCATTCACTGTTTCCAAGACCGATTCCTGCAAGAGAAACTTACGGTAATCATGCACTTTAGAAAAAATCCCAAAAGAAGTTCAATTGAAGTCCCAGAAATTTTATAAAGATGTATAGAGAGATATGCTTATGAAAAAATGAAAACACCTCATAAACCAAGCCTGATGCGGAGTCGAATGTTCGCGAAGGCAATGTAGGTGATGATGGGGCGGATTCAAAAGTTTCACTCTAAAATTGATACGCAAATAACAAATACTTTCCCAGAAAACTCTCATTCATACTTACTCTCTCATGGCTTTGTTCCATCGATGTGTCGCATGATCTGAAACGAGAATATAATAACTTTTGGATAATAATAACTAGTAACTTTTGACGTAAGCCTCTTGTCATCTTAAACTGCACCACTCACCTCTTCCGGAGAACTTCAAGTAAGCTTCCCTTCTGTTTTTTGACATTTTGATTCGTTGCAGAATCCTCTTTCTCCCTACTGAACGTTCCTTTCTTTACCCTCTCTTTTTCAACTGCTCCTTCATTCTGCAAAATTTGACAGTTAAGCACCTATGTAGAAGACTTTTCGAACTTACTTCTACAAATTCCTCGATTTTCTTCCTTTGTTCATCACACTGTTCTCTAAGCTTCTCATTTTGCTGCTTGAAGCGGTTTATTTCCGTGAGCTTCTGCTGAAATTGGTACTGATAAACACTGGGTGCGAAAAACTCCAAGGAAACCAACACTCACATCCTCTATTTCCTTCTTTTCAATTTCCAGTCTTTTTACTAGCTGCTCAAGTTCTTGTACTTTCTTGTCATTCCTCTTAAAAGTCAATCATAAGAGATAAAAAAATTCTAAGAATTCGGAAAGGACGACGCACCTGAGAAACTTGCTGAGATTCCGGCGTAGCACAGCTGAACACATCAAAAAGTATTCAAAAGCAAAAACTGAATTGGTCTCCGATACTTACTCCTTTCTGCTTCTATCAATTAGTACAGGAGGCGCTTGGGTGGTGGTGGTTGGATGCAGCTGTGCCAGCAGTCGATCTCTTTCCTCTGTTAAGTCATCAATCTGCTGCCTGTAGCCCTCCTCCAATTCATCGATTTCGTCGCATTGCTGAATTTTCAAAGTCTAAATGCATTTTGAAATTGAAGTGAAGACAGTCCCACCTTCTCCAGATATTCGATGCGTTCGATCCTGACCACAAGTTCTCTTTTGAGCGTGTTCACATCGTCGCAATCCGAGTAAAGAGCGATCTACAAGATGATATAGTAGAAGAAGGGGAGCTTAACGTTTGAAAGCAGCTATCGACAAGCTGTTCCGAAGCCATTGCTCGAGAAAGTCTATTTGTTCCCTTCTGACCCAACTTTACGCCCTCCTCTCTCCCCAACTGAAAATCGGGCGATCAAAAGAAAAAAAAAAGAAGCTGGTATAGGGGCCATACACACAAGAGCAATGCTTAGCTCAATTTCGTGGAAATGGGTAACTGAAGCTGGAACCTTACCTTTTCTAAACGTTCCTTCTCCATCTTCAGAATGTTAATTTCACTCTCTAGCTCGAGTATCTTTTCTCGAGCTTCCTATACAAAACATAAGCATCATAAGATCGCTTGAGAGGAGGCAAAAACAAAAAGACTGACCATTAGCGCGTCCTCATTATGGTTCATTGAATGGTCCGGTGTGAGCGGTTTTATGCTGAAAAAAAAGTAGTGGCTTTTTGTGTGCAAGTGTAGATATACCAACTAACCCCTCAGTAAGTGCAGCGCGTAGGTTTTGTACAACTGGTTTACTTGCGGTAGCTGGGTCGATCTGAGCCTTCAACGCATCCCTTTCGTCAGTGAGTTCGTATATCTGCTGCTGATATTTCTCCTCGATTTCGTCCAGTTCGTCACATTGCTGAAAAGTTTTGGTGTGAGTGAGGAACCGAGCAGATATTTGTTGACTACCTTTTCAAGATGTTCAATTTTCACGTCCTTTGCAGCCAAAGATTGCTTCAGCTCATTGACTTCATTGGATTGAGCTTCTGCAGTCTAGATAGAGAATTTCTTTTCGATCAACGATAACAAGAATTGCGTCCACCTAGAAGACTGGGTTCACACTGAGAAAAACTTACCTGCTCAAGTACTTCCTTCTCCTTTTTCAAATTCATAATTTCCCGCTCAAGTATGGCAACTTTTTCCTAAAAATACACAGGTAGAGAGAGCGTATCGATCTAATTCCTACTGTACCTTCAGCGCTTCATCGTCCCTGTTGAATTTTGCTGATTCCTTTGCAGCAGCAAGCTGTGTTCTTAGTTGTTCGCAGTTTCTTTGCAACACAGCAACCCTTTCCTGCTGCTCCCTATCACTCTTAGCGAAACTCTCACATTCCTGTAAAATAAACGAAGTTTCAAACATGTAAGTGAACAAGAGAAGAGGAGGAAGACGCAAGCTTGGTTGTGGAGGGGGCAGAGAGAAAGAAACACACCTTCACTAAGTCGGACATAAACGCTTCCTTCTCGGCAAGCTTTTGCTCTGACTCGGCAAGTTCCTTGAAATTGGAAAGTATTCGCGAAAAATTTCTGAGACTACTAATACGCAAATGGTAGGATGAACACAAAAAAGTACACAATTACCTTGTGAATTCCAGAAATTTCTTCAGAATGCTTTCGTTCCATCATCTCCAGATCTGCTTTCAACTGGTCTACCTCGCTTCTCAACAAATCTTTCTCGTTGCCCAGTACCGCCATTGTGTTTTTCGCCTATAGAAGATTCTGTAGGTCGTACATAGCCGGAGATGTAATGGGGTTACGTTCTGTAGTGCAGCCAAAGTTTCATTCTTTTTACTATCATTTTCCTGCAGTTGCTTTTCAGTTGCGGCTTTCTCAGCAGTAACCTTCTGGAGAGTGTCGTCGACCATAACTTTCTCTTCGCGAAGTCGTGCCAAAGTTTCTTTTGCCTAATAGTCAGAATATATATGCTAAAGTACAAAAGAAATAAAAAAGTTAGATAATAGTCACCTCGTTCATATCTTCTAGTAACTTTTTACTTGCCTCCTTTTCAGCATTCAGTTGGGTAGCGAAAGCAGCGCGTTCAGCATCCAATTCGCTTCTGAGTGAATCTACCAACTGAAAGGTCCAGTCTCTAGTTATTGGAAAATCTTCAGAATTACAATATAGCACAGCGTCATTGACCTCATTCTCCGTTCGTAAAAGAAGGCTACACATTCTCACATTGACGACAATACGATTCATCGGTGGGTCGTACGTGCCCTGCCATTTCGGACAATACGATCCACCGGTGGGTCGTAAGATTCATGAAGCGCTATCTTTGCCAGTTTACGACGGAATTCTACGGGGTTCTGGCACATGATCGGGGGCACTTAGGTGAAGCTCCAGCCAGAGTGGTCCGGGCTCGGGATACTGTAATGTAATGTTTTACGGTTGGTATACGGTAGACATCTATAAGGCACAAGCTTTAGCTCAAATTCTTCGTAAAATGATGCTGTTTCTCGAGAATCAAGTTTGCATCTAAGAGTAATACGGGGCGGGCAAGAGGCTGACGTTAATCCACTAAAAAATTGCCGATTTTATTGATTTTTTGCATTTTTCGTCCTTGGAAGCTCGAACTTTGCATATATAGGTTTTGTAGCATGCTGATTACGAAAATGATAGTCTCAAGTTTTGATACCACCTTCTAACATCAGTTTCTTGATTTCTACGAAAATTCTACCGTACTGCTACCGTAGTCTCACCGTGAGAATGTAGTGAACAAATGGACACTATAATCGTGATCAGCACGTGAAATAACCTCAATACACAAATTTTTATGAAAATCCATGATGTTGGGTTCGTACAGAATGACTACCGTAACCTTACCGTATAACGCCAAAAACTGAAATAAATTATATTTTGGTGATCAGCGCATTCGATAACCCTTGTGGGGAAATTCTCGGAGACATGTTCTGAATTTCTTACAAAAAGACTACCATTTCGGACAATACGACCCACTGGGTCGTAAGTTTGGCAGAGCAAAAAAGGCTCCTGTCCGAAATGGCAGTAATCGAAAAATCGGCCTTGTCGTCAATGTGTTATACTATTTGTCATATATGTCGAAATTTTACTTGCTTCTACGAAAATCTGAGTTTCCGCTCAACCCGGTCAAAGTCGCTTCAAATAACATTCAACAACAGAGTTGTTCTTGAGTGTGTCACATTTTGTACTATGAAGCAGAAGAAGAATTTCTGAGAAAAGAATCAGCTCTAATAGCTTATCAAAAATAACAAACCCGCTTTGCATCAGCTGCTTCAAGGACTCCTTCATTGGCAGCCGCCAACTCAGCTTTTGTAGATGTAAGCTCCTCTTGTAGCGAGTTGAATTCCTTTTTCGAGGCAGCGAAGGCAGAGTTTAACTGGAAGCAGGATAGATGAAAATTTATTTGCAACAAAAAACCTTATGGAAAATCAACCTGCTCCACTTCTTTGGTTTTTTCCTCACATTCTTGTACTAGCAGCAGTATATCTGACTGTAGCTTCTTTGCCTCTTCTTCAAGCGCTCCTTTTGACTCCTCCAACCGGGAAATCAGCTCTGTTCTCTAAAATAAATCAAAGAAACTGGATGAAAGTGTAATGACAAATTTTTACAGTATGAAACCCTTTTAAGGGGTGTGAAGATCGCAGTAATCCGGCACAATGCAGATGCTAGCTAACTCACCTTTTCCAACTCTTCGCTTAGCGCGATCATCTTCGTATCCGCCTCATTCATTCTAGTTTCCAAATCTGCCTTCTCTGCAGCCGTCTTTGATATGAGCTTATTCATTTGTTGTTTCTCCTCCTAGAGAAAGAAGTGATTGACAGCTCAGAAATACCTCATTTCCGCTCACCTCGAAAGCATCGGCAACCCCTTTCAATTTTTTCTCGGCCTCTTCAGCACGGCTTGTCTCAACACTTAACTTGGATTTCGCTTCTTCTACTTCACCAGACAAGATATTTCTGAACAGGATATTTTAAGGAATAAGCAGGAATTTGAAGGAAATGCATACTTCTCAGACTGTAAGCGCTCAGTTTCGCGTCCGACTTCAACAAGAGCAGCTTCTTGTAATGCACGCTCCTCCTTGAGATCTGCCAGCTGAAAAATATGTATGGAAGTATGATATGAACCTTATCTAGCGCAGAACGCTCTACACAAACCTTGGCAGCTAAAACACTCGTCTTCGCCTGTTCTTCTGCAAAGAGCTGCGATTTCTCCTTCAGCTCAGCGATGGCAATCTCCTTTTCATTTTTCATTTTTGCTGCTCCCGCATTGGCTTCTTCAAGTTTTTTCTCACGAATACTCAAATCGTCCTGGATCAAAATTTTCTGCGTAATTACATAAGGAACCTGCGCATAGCTGTCTTCAACTTCTCACCTTCAATCTGATCAATTCTAGCTCGCTGCTGGTTTGAACTTCGCGCAAAACAGATAGATCATTTGTAGCAGCTTCAAGCTGCTTTTTGAGACTATCCACTTCTTCCGCTGCTTTTGACTGTAAAATATTATGCTTATCATTATATCCATCAACAATGACTGAGAATTCAGCATATATCTTAGGCAACCACACCTGGTTCTTTGTTTTCATAAACAATTTTCGAAAACCAGTTACTTTATGTTTTTGCTGAAAAAAAAAGTGGAACACTCATTATGAATATTGTCGGAATGACTTGTTGGTAATTCCAAGAAAGCTTTCAAGCACTAACTATATCACGAAGGCATAAAAAGCAATGTAGTACGGTGATCCACTGTATCAGACTGAACTGCAAACAGACTATCAGACTAGAACTGCAAACGTACCGCAGCACCCCTGGCATGTTCCAACTGTTTTTCAATCTCTTGATGGTTAGCGTTCGCTTTCTCAATCTCTTTGATGGCGGACTCCTTTTGTGCGATCTCCAAAACGTATTTTGATTCACTCTAGAGTTGAGAAATGAAAATGACATACGGCGTGATGCAATTCAACAATCTCTTTCTGGAGAGCATCCGACTTTTCGTTTGTATCGGCAATCTGAACATATTCAATTATAGGGATGAAAGAGTATGAGCGAAAATACCTGATTTAATAAAACCAAATTTCTGTCGGCTGCTAGCTCAAGCTCCTGAATATTCGCATTATTAAATTCTCGAACATATAATGCTTTAAATGAGGAGAATGCAATACACATACTTTGACTAGGTCTTCGCATCGCTTCTCAGCTGCGCCTTGCGCTTCTTCCGAAATCAGTAGACGCTCTTTGAATACGTTTAATTCAGTAGCTAATCCAGCACTTGTAAATGACAATTCAGTCTAAAAGTATCATTTTAAATAGTTGGTTTTATAGGCATTTAGCAAACCTGAGTCCTAAGCTGAGCACGGCATGTCTCCAGTTCTTCTTCGAGGCTGATCACCTGTAACTTTGTTGATGCTAAGAAGTAGTAAATTTCATAATTAGCCCTAACCTTTGTAAACAGTTCTTGCTTCTGATTGTTATGCCTCTTTTTCAGATCTTCAACAATAAATTCATAATCAGCGACTGTCTTCTCTGCGTTCTCCTTGGCTTTAGTGATTTCTGCCTAAAAAGTGGAGTTACGATGAGAGGTATAGTCTTTCGACTAGTCAGGATTCTCAGATCGAAAAATGTTACAAGCAGCACTTACCAACTTCCCACGTACTACACCCAACTCCACACTTTTGGTGTCTGCGGATGCTTTGTATGCATTGCGTTCTTCAGCGGTGCTTCTAAGCTTTTCATGCAGATCCGCCTTGTCCTTTTCAAGTTGGCTAATATTCTTCCGCATTTGCTCCAACTCTTCCGGAGATTCGACAGCATTTCGAAGCGCCATATCGTAAATTCTATTCTCATGCATCAAAAATGATATCCTAAACAGAGAAATGATTTCAACTTTTTATGGAAGAATGCATTACTAAAGCTCACTCGGAATCGTTCATATTGTATTTCCGATTTTGTGAAGTAACTGGAGACGCGTCTGCGAATCCGAAATCACCTCGACGAACCGTGGAAGCACGGGAACCGCCTTCACTTCTAGAGAGGTCGGCTATCGGAGACAGCGGCGCGGCAGCATCTTCAATGTTGGAATTTCACTAGCTAATAAAATAAGATAAATCTTTAAAGTAGAGGTAAGACTTACAAGGGTTTACGGATCTTCTGGTGACAAATTTTGGCTTTGCAACAGCCTTCACATTTGGCACCTCCTCCTTTGTAGGATCTGACTCCGTTCTGATCTCATCAGTCATCTCCATCGGATCGCTTGATACACTTTCTCCGGCATTCGGTAAAGCCTTTCCTCTTTCGAAGGCGCTCATCGTATCGTCATTAAGACTACCAAATGAATCGGCATCACCAGCAGCCGTCAAGCGTCCCAATTCTTCAGCCAAAGTGGCGTTATTGATGGCAGAGCTCTTACTTTCAGGAGGACGAGGGGTGAAGGCGGCCATTGTATCATCAGCCGCAAACGAGCAAGCTGTGATGTCCATACTGATATCACCGTATTGCGTCGTATTGGCAGGTGACAGGCACTTTGTCGTATCCGCGAAAATTTTCGATTCACTGACCGCCGTGGAAGCGGATGTGATATATCTCGAACTGTCAGAACAGGTACCGCCATCTTCTTCAGCTTTTTCCAAGATCGACACATTTCCTGACGCCTACAAGGTATATATTTACAAAGTAACTTTAAATGCACATCCACTGCTATAAAATGTGCCAAATCTTATGCACGTTGTTACTGTGAGAAATTCAGAAAAATCTACAAAGTCAAATAAGTCTTTAGAAAATTGCAAGGCAGTCAAATAAGCCTACCGTCACTTTAATTTGTGCTGACGACCTATCCAGATTCACTCCCAGCTCTCCAAGTTCATTCGCTAGACTCAGCCCCTGAAAACACCAATTTTTTGAAAATATGACGAAAATTAAAAACACAAACACAAATTATCTAAAAAATACCTGAATAATTTGTAAAAAAAACACAAACATAAAAATATCTAAGAAAAATAATTGAATATTTATTGCGTTGCCTTTTTACGAAAACTGAGCCTTACCTGATTGACAACAGAATCATTTGCGCTCAAAGGCGATGCCTTTGCCTCTACGAAAACACGAATTGAGTCGCACTGCTTCTTTGGAGTTACTTGTTCGAGATCTTCCAGACGAGCTCCGTCAAGGCATGTCTCTTCCAGATTCGAATCACCAGCGTGCTTTTGCGCAAAGACCTCCTCAAAATTAACGAATTTTCTATAGATACTGAGAAAAAGCCATATAGTAAAATAGCAAAAGTTTGTACAAAAGAACGCGTTTTTTTATAGAAATAACAACCTCATCAAGTGCAGTTTTCAGAGTCTCGTCAGCATCTGCTGATAAAGTTTCGCTACTTCCTGTAACATCAACGATCGTCGACTCCATGGCAGATATCTCGAGATTACTATCAGCTGGGATCTGCTTATGCTGAAATTTTGAAATTCAATATATCAGTTCTTTTTGAGCGCGTCACTTACCTTTTTATCGATAGTGAACGTGGTACCACAAAGTGATGGCTCAACTTCGCTATCGATAGTAATTGTTGTATTCTCAGATGCGATAGTCTCACTATATATGGAACTAATAACCGACTCTTCCAAGTTTGAATCACACTCATGGTATGGAGATTCGAACTACAATTGGAAAAAATTGCCATCACAAAAAAAGTCGATAATTCTGGACGTACCTCCTTCGCGTTAGTCAAAGTGGAGTCAGCCGTATCTTCCACGATAGATGACCGATCCACATCCTTACAAATGATGCTGGTTACTATTACGCTCCCATCAGTCTGGTAGAAAGTGGATTCGATCGATGTTTCTTCAAGATTAGCATCACAAGGAATACGTGGTGTGTTCTCATTCTGAAAATCATAAACTTGAGTCCTAAGTACACTATGCATTTTACACACCTAGTTATATTGAAAAAATGCTGCGTGCTTCCTACAATTTTGTCGATTGATACTCGATCAAAAATTACTTACATCTGCTTCATGATTGGTTAGAGTTGTGTTAGCCGATGTTTCGCAAATAGACGTGTCCTCTACATCAACGTCATTTTCAACAATAGTTGTCCTAGTAGTGTCCGAGTCTTGCAGCGTGAAATCCGCCGCAGTCTCTTCCAAGTTAGTGTCACAGAGGATTTGGATCGAACTGTCATCCTAAATTTCGTTCCTTATGAAATGTAAAGGAGTACTAAAAGAACGGTTAATGTAGACGACGGTATTTTCAATTACTCGGTATCAAACTATAAAGTTTCGACTGGAAGAAAGCTGGGACTAGGAGCCATCAACAAAATTAATGCGGAAGAAAGAGATTTTAGCAGAACCATCTCCAACATCAAAGTATTGTGTACGCACAAATGCTACTACCAGTTCACAAAAGTCCCAAGGTGAAGGGACTCGCAAATAATTTTCAAAAACAAAAAAAGCTTCCTAGGTTAAGGCCCGTCATACTTCGCCGAAAAAAGCCCAAAGAAGCCCGAAAAAGCCCAAAAGCGCCAGAAAAAGCCGGAACACTTCTCGCACGTTTTGGCGCTAAGGCATGTGTGTTGACTTCGCAATCGAGCCTTTTTGTCATTTTCTGTCGTCCGCATGATAAGATAATGTCAGAATTCTACCAAAAGTTCGTTCCTACATTCCGGCTCTATCTGGCGCTTTCGGGCCTTTTCGGGCTTCTTTGGGCGCTTTTGGGCTTTTTTGGGCGCTTTTGGGCTTTTTTCGGCGAAGTATGACGGGTCCCTAACACCACGGAATTAGGAGATGCAATCTTAGTGATGGTGAAGGAACTACATTAATCTGATTTTCAAATTGCTGTGACTAGTTTTAGATAGAGTGATATGACAATTTAGAAAAACGCTTTTCAATCAGATGGCTGAGTATGACTTCTAAGCTAGGAGGAAGATAAAAAATGACTATTTTTCAGTGAAGTGAATAAATCAGAGCCAAAGAAGACAATGAGGATCTCAAGTAATAGTTTGCGACTATTACTGGAACAAAGCAAAGCCTAAAAAAACAATCCAAATAGATGATGCTGACCTCTTTGCTTATGGTAAAAGTGCCACTGAGAAGCGCCGATTCTTCCAAATTTCCGTCCCCAGCTAACACACATGGCTGATTGGCCTAAAACAAAACTTTACTTTTCATCAACGGAAGGAATAAAAAAAGAGAGGTAATCTCCTACTTCCGGCTGCATATACGCAGACATTTCTGAAGCTTGATCACCATGACAAACCCGTGCAGCTGAGCTCGTAGCGCAAGTTGCAGATGGTGCTGAAAAACTGGTGTATAGGTTATCTTGCTGCTTAGTTCAACTCTTACTGCAAAAACATCATAACTATGAAAATACGTACTCTCTATCAAACTTTCGCTGAGGCTTAATTTCGAAATGTTGGATTCTTCCGCAATACTAGTGGCATCAAGATTTTGGTCACCAAGCTCGTGCAGTGGTCTTCCCTAGAATTTTTCAGAATAAAGTAAAGAATAATGATGATGTCGTAAAAGAAAGACGGCTGAATAACAAAGCTGAATTCAGCTTCTGAGCAGTCTCAGGAAAAGATAACACATTTGTCAAGCTTGATACCAACTGAATATTATGCTAAAAAAAATGCCAGACTTACTAGTTTTCTTGGTGCAGGTCTTGTATTTGGAGATGCAGCAGAGAATGGGCTCTGGAGTGAAGGCCTCTTTTTGATCTAAAATTCGGCTTATACAAATTTAAAACACTCAAAGAACTTGAAGTACCTCTTTAGGTTTGGGCGTGGCCAGCAAGTTTTCCTTGTTAGCTTGCATCTCAAAAAGCTTCTGATTCTGGAAATCCTAAGAATGAAGAAGGTTGTGAGATCACGGATGTAAAGTGGCAGAGGCACAATATGTCAACCAATTATGCTACGAGTGTAGATATTAGATACAGTTCGCTTTTAAGAAACTGCTGGAGAAGCCAAAAAACTGCCTAGGCTAATTATATTTGTGCTGATTTGTACTCAGGTTCAAGTAACACTACCTCCCTTCTCAGACATATGGCCTCTCCCACAATTGTGGGAGAGGCCATATGTAATCCTTTTAGAAGGATCTCACTCACTCATCCCAAACTGAAACAAGGAATACCATCCGGGAAACGATGGAAGGAGAATGAAAAAACTGATGCTGATTCGATGTTTTCCTGAATGTAAGGTTTGAAGCATTTCTTTTCGCGCGCGCACAACATCGAACAGGGCGCGAAATCTATTAAGTAAGATTGTGACGCGATATCTTCAATGTTCAGGGTCTATTGAGTAAGATTGAGAAATTATCGCAATTATTTTAATTATTTACAAGCATAAACAAGTCACTTGCACGTTTTTATAACCCATATAAGCAACTTTCAAAAATTTGTTATTCTTAGATTCCGGAACAGTTCCAGAACTTATGAATCAGTATGAGCCTACCTTTTGAAAAGCCGTCATTCCTCCCGTTCAGTGAACAGTAGTAGCAGATGCGGCAAAAATATACATCTTCTAGACAGAACTTATTGCCGGTATGTTTGTTATCAAGTCTAACGCATCAGATAAACATTACAGCAAGCGGATCTAGCAACATGTGGTAAGACGAGGTTAACGACAAAGCGAAAGAATTTGTAAAATGCAAAAAGCGACAACAGAAAAACTGATGGCTCCGTAGCGATATAAATACAATGTAGCTACAGTATACTCGCTCTTGATCATCATGTTCAGAATCATCGCGGCTGTGCTGCTCTATTTCTCCACAAGTTTTGCTGATGAGGTAAGAAGTCGCTCACTTCCATTTACAGTCGATTATCTAGGTCCTCGCTAAGTGTGTAATTGCACAAGTTGGCCTGGATGGCAATATCGCTTTTCTTGTTTTTTCTTCGCTTCCTCTGTTGTTTCAGTGACAACAGTATGGCGCACGCCATAGTTGTTCCACTCGATCCACTTGGGTAAATTGTCATCTGAACTGAACACAAGAAGGTTTTCTACGCGACAACAAATGACCAGTTACTCGTTTTACATGAAGTGGATCAAGTGGATTAACTATGGCGTTTGTCTAAATCAAGAAGCGTGAGTGGTCACCCGACATACATTTCTTACTTTGGGATTTCCTCATCGCTAGCACCCTAAATATGTGTAGTTACACACATTAGCAGGAAACATTCTAGACTTTACTATGTGGAGCTTCTTGTAAAGAGCAACAATTTTTTGTTTTTTCCTGATTTGCGACAGTTTAATTGTAAGATGTCCATTTTGCTCAAATTTTTAAATTTCCAGAATGTAAAGAATGCGACAGCGGAGGGCAATTACTATCACGAGTATCTCACTTATGGTGACTATAAACCTCCACCACACTATGGTGGCTACAATTTTGGAATTTATGGCTATCGTCGGCCTTACGATCGTCTTATAAACAGTAAGTTTCGTGCCACTTGCGTTGCGTCGCAGTTGCGCGCCGCGCTCGCCATCGCTTAGCTTATCTGGCCACCCGCCTTCGTCCGGCAGTGCACTATAGTCATATGCTCATTGAATGATACCTAATCGCAACATTTCAGGTCACGTCTGCAGTCTGGAAGCAACATATGCTGTCTACTCCTATCCTGGTACTAAGCGTAAGTTATTTATTCCGTGGCGGTTTGGCTAACTCAAAGAAATGTTATTTGGATAGATACGCTTTTGGCTAACAAAGGCAGGAAATGCATTTAGAACAAATATCGTTTATGACAGCGGAAATCAGCAGATTTTCAGCTACGAAACTCAACAAGTAATTGTCGAAAAAATGTAATTTTTTCTCGAAGACAGGCAAATTTGGTCATGTGAGTTTCTAGGATACTGACTTTAGCCAAGTTGTTATCCACACGACAGCTCATATAATTCTATCATAGCCCGCAAATTCATCTTTAGACTCCCGCCCAGTACCGTATCGTTTTCGAACGCGTCAGTTGGCTCTCTGATGTACGGTGCCGCGGGCAAGTGTTTAGAATCGAGTTTCTTGACCAGAGCTGCAGTTTTTGAGCTGCGTTCGAGTTACAGCTTATTGAGGCTTCTAGGCAATACTCTCCCGTCAAGAATCCACATACTCAGTTTTGCGAGTGTACCGTCTTGGAGACGATTTGCCCAAGTCATAAATGTGAATAATGCAAGAATGTGCTCTTACATCTAGTGATTTTATCAAGGCTTACAAAAGTTTTTTTCAGCATTTCGCGTGTAATTTAAGATTAAAGAAAACTCTTCCTCCCAACCAAGATTACATTGCTACAGATACTTTATCTTCAGATGGGGTAACAGATGTCCCCCGATTCTAGAAATTGAATACTTTCTTAATTTTGTCGTTTGTTTATACAGTAACTCTGTTTATTGCAGGTGGACGACCGCATATACTCGACTGCTCATCTGGCTTTTATGATGTAAATTTTTTCGGCCATTAAATTAATTAATTAGCTCTATCATCTTCTGGGTGACAAAATCCCAGCAGAAATTCTCTTTGGGCTTCTTATGTGAAAAGTGTTTGGAAAGTCCCAATCAAGCCATCGCTCAAACGGTTGCTTATAGTGTGGACCCCGGCCAGCTTCCCATAGGTACCAACGCGACGCGCACGCAGCGCACGCCTCTGCTGCCTTCGACGAGTTTTGTTTTTGGGGTCTTAATGATTGTTTTTTGTTTTCTCTCTTGTTTATCGTTGTTTCTCCATAATTTCTCCAATTCAGGTATGGTCGATCGAGGCAATGGACCCTAACTTCTTAGAAGATAGCGTTGTTCGTTCTCTAGTTTTCTTTGTGCAAGCCTCGATGACTGTTTGGAACTTTTACATGCAGGAGCAATTGGAGTTAGCTTACTATGAACAAGAAAGTAACCTTTGCAACAAATCAATATGATGAGCTTAGAAAAACCCAGACATTCTAACTCAAAAGCGCATTTGATTAAACGAAGATCGAAAGGCAGCGCGAACCTCTCTAAGGCAGAGACGATAGAGGCACCAATCAAAATCGACCATAGACATTCGTTTTTTTTTTGTGGAAGAGATTTGAACGGAAGAACCTCTCGAGATTAATCGAAAACACCAACTTTTAGCGAAGAGAAAACGTAAGAACGAACAACGCTCTCTTCTAACGTTGAAGTTAGGGTCCATTGTCGCGATCGGCCATACCTGGAATCGAGAAATTATGGAAAAACAACGATAAACAGGAGAGAAAACAAAAAACAATCATTTAGACCCCAAAAAGAAAGCTCGCCGAAGACAGCAGAGGCGTGCGCTGCGTGCGCGTCGCGTTGGTACCTATGGGAAGCTGGCCGGGGTCCACACTATATATGATTTCGTGGCCGGCAAATGCAACTCTGTACTCTTGCTCAAACCGTACTTCAAAGTACGCGAGGGCGCTGACTGGCCCGCTTGGAAAGAATACGGTGTGGGTGAGGGTTTAGAGTTGAAATTCTCGGCCATGGATAAATCCTATGAGGTGTCGCTTAGGCAATGGCTTAGGTAAGGCCTTGCAATCAGTACTCACACAAGAAGTCCAGGCTAGATTCAATCGACCACTCATTGTCAGTGTTTATTTAGTTCCAAAAACGTCTTCTTCAGCAAGATGATAAATACACTCAAGACAGTTGCGACCGATGCTGCAAACAAGCTGCGCGTCTCGACAATATGGTTGAGGTACGGTATATGCGTAATTTTCTCAAGATGTACCGTAATCTTAGATATTTTCAGAGTGAAATTCTTGGCCTGACGCTTGTCATCGACAGAAAAGTCAAATGTGCTTGTTGTGCACCTCATCGTCCGTATATGGATGTGATCAAAGTGCCAGTTCAACATCCGAACTATCAACCATACGGATCACCGCCACCACCGCCACCGCCAGTCTATGGTCAACCAGTTTATGTTAAAAATTGACCCACCGGCTACTCAACTGTGAAGCCTTGAGTGAAACGAGCTAACTTCGAGATAGACCATATATTTGGAATGTTTATGTTGATAAATCGCGATAAGAATCATTCTTTGTTTTTTTCATAGACTTTATTGTTGAAGAGAGGTGTCTTATTTCAATTGCTTACAGAGACAGGGCGCCCTGCGAGCGCTGTCTGCGTCTATCGCATCATTCCTCTGACCATCTGCGTCTCGCCCAAACACAAGCTATCTCAATCGGACGCCACGGCGTCCAGTTCATGCGTGCAACGAATGGTTCATAGCAAATAAATTAAATAACATCTCTGCCTTGAAGAAGAATTGTTTTAAAATTAAAGATCAACAAACCCTCGTCAATAAAATAAAACAAAGACATTCCGAAAATTTCCAAAGCAGTTTTTCTTCTGTTTTATGTGCCCTAATGAGCCGAGTCCCTATCTCCTCGGGCAAGTTCCTAATAGGATTGAAGCGTTCTTATATCCTCACATTAGGTTTCTTATATGATTGCTGTCCAATCACAATCATCTGTAAGCAGCCAGTTCCAATCACAAGCCAGTCTCGGATCTAGCAAGCGCTTGTTCTTCTGCCCAACTTCTTCTCCTTCGAGGGGAATCTCATTACTTTGAAAGCATTGATGTCTTTTGTGGATATGAAGAAGCTCTGGATTCTTCCGCGTCTTGCTTTCAGTCTCATCATGTCAACAGTCGTCGGCGGTCATTGTCTTTCTAGTCTTAATCTCAGTTTTTCCAATGAGATATTCAGTTGTACTTTTCATGTTTGCTGCATTATTGTAAATTTTTGGCACATGCATTTCAGCCGCAATGTTTTGGCATTGCTTTAACTTAAAAATCTACGACCACTAATAAAATAACTCCAATGAAGTATATGTGACATCATAATCTTTGATTTTTACAATGATGAGTTACTGAACTATTAAATTTGGTGTCGTCAATCGCTGAGCTGAAGAAACGAGCTCGAAATAGCTAAAAACTTGACTATTAAAATGATGTTTACTTGTTCAAATGCAAATTATTCTTGAAATGCAGTATTAGATTAGAAATTTTTTGATTAGAGAGATAAAGTGCAAATCCAGATTCAAAAAAAAAAACACGAGCGATATATTAAATTGAACCGAAACTTCGTTCGCACCGTTTTCACAATCGTAATTCCTTCCTGTCACGATAATCTTGCATGGCAAAAATATCAGAACGAGTAGCTCATGTACTTTCTAAATTCACCTTGCTTGCTCCTTCTATACTCTGATCAAATAGATAAAAATGGGAAAAGGATCATCCCAGGTTCGGAGAGGCAAGCCCGTTAACTCTTCCTAAAAAAGTTATGAGTTTGGAGAAAAAATGCCAAAAAATCAGTTTCCTAAAAAATTGATTTTACAATATTACTTGAAAATCATGATTTATCAGAGAACAGCTTGATCAGCGCGAATTTTGCTCAGCTAGAAAGACGGAGTCAGAAAATTTAGGATACTGGCTGTTTTGAATTTTATGGCACAGTTTCGAAATTTTTTCTTGTCTCGAAATTCCGAATTTGGAGTGATTACATACCTTTTCCCATTTTTATCTCTGCGACCAGAGCGTAGAAGAGAGCAGTCAAGATGTATTTAAAAAGTACAAGATCTATTCTTTCTATGGGAATTGGAAAAAATGACAGGGAGGAGTTACGATTTGAAAACGATGCAAACGGTTTCTTTCGGTTCAACTTAATAATTCGCCGCTGGAAGGCATTACCGTAATCGAGATAGTGTAGGCTTGTAGTGGGAAATTAGCTTTTGATCTGTTCAGAATTCTGCTGGCAATCTGTTTGTGTATTCAGCACACGGAGGGATTGATTGTGGGGATACGGTTTCAGTACGGTGAGAAGTCCTACTGCACAGATTTTGGCTCGGTGGCTGTCGCTGGTGACAGACCAGAAAGGACTTCAAACTCAAACTTCACTTCGCTACTCTTCCCTCAAACAATTTCCACATTTACTCTGCAAAACTGCGTTATCGTACATTTTGCATGTGAAAAAAAGTGCTACCGGTCTACTAATGCTGACAAATGCGAGCAATTATCCCACAAAGGTCGTCGATGATGAATAGCGCAACAGAAGTACAGCGAGGTTTTGTAACTGTTCATCGTTGTAAAAGAGTAAAGAAAAACTTTTGTGCGAGTAGGCAGTTTTATTTTTTGCTGATGTGTGGTTGGAAAGACCTTTTCCATCAGAAATTGGAGAGGTAAGGAAAGGGACGCTTTTTGTAGGAAATGCACTTGTATGTGGTTGCACAGTGTAATTTATGGCTTGAAAGCAATGTCCAGGGCGATTCTGAGTACTCTCGCCCACTACCGTACTAGATTGTAGACCCGTAATTAAAGACTATGGTACTGGGCGAAAGTTTGAAGCTGCGCTTCTTTGCCACGAATGCATCATATAAGTTGTTATTTCGACCATGGTTGATTAACGTGTTCTAAATTGCTACATTGAATATATCTCAGAATTTTTCTGTATTTTTTACCCCCCCCCCCCACTGTTCAATTTCGGACGAGTTATGCTTGATATTACGCATTTCTAATCCTCAGAACGAGAAGAACGTGTTATACATAAATGGTTTACATCGGCGTGCGGTTTTACGACTCTCCCAGTGATTAATCAGACCTAGACAACGATGGAATTTTATGACAGGCTGTAAATAGGCGTAACGGAAAACCACTATCAGGACAAGCACTAATTGCTGTTTTGATTACAACGCAAACATCCATCGTGTCCTTGGAGCATTTATTACCAAAACAGCGCGGAATTCTATGGGTAAAATTTTAGATAGGTGGAAATTTGTACTTTTTTCATTCGAGAAATTTGAGTCTTAAAACAAATCATTTTTTTCTTTTAATTTCATATAATTTTCCGGTTAGTGCGCATAATCATGCGCCGTTGCATTATTAGTGACCTAAATTATAATTTCCGTATTTACTTAATTTGTTGGAATTGGAATAGTTGACCTCGATAGAAGTTCTTGACCACAAATTATTTCCAACTTTGGATGTCAGTAGGTCAAATCACGGTATGGTTAACTTTTTACCATTGCGCGTAGAATCCTAACCTCAACCTGTGCCGGTAAGTGCTGAGGAAAAATGTAAAGAGATAAATGATGGGGATTTTTGCAGACCATTTTTTATAGCTGAGCTGCAGAGAGGTTTTAAAATTATTTTTGGGCATTCAAATAGAAAATTCTAGTAAAATTGCAAAAATGTTGTTTCTTCCAACTAAATAGCATTTTTTGGAATCTTTTAGGTTTCTTCTACAAAAATCTTCAGAATCATCCGACTCATAAATTTGCACTCTTCTCTCCCCCCCCCCCCTCTCCCCCAACTTTTACACTCAAATACCGTAACCCGCTCCTCCCCAAAATGGATATGCATTTACTGCACCATTAACCACGCCGATGACTTTGTTTCTGCGCAATTCTCCACTCACAAAATGTTGACCTTACCATCCGTAAAACGTGCACGCGTTCTTACCACCAACCATTATGGGCCATTTCAACATTTTCCTCCGCAAAAATGCACGACGTCAGTGTAATTTTACCGTCGGTTTCAGCATAGAAGTGAGTTTGACCTCGAAATGCGTGTGACTGTCCTTAATATGCGAGCGCAAAGCATTTTCGAGACGATTTGGCGCCCCAGCTTCTTTCTGTTTCCCATACGGGTCATCGTGTTCTTAAAGCTGTCATTTCGGAATGGGAAATAGAATAAGGAAATACTCGTCACTGTTTGTATAGTTATCAAATCGAAGACATTTAAACGTCCAAAAAACTAGGAATTAAATATTCAATTAAAAATCAAAATAATCACAATAATTTGAAAAGCACCAGCTTGAAAAGTGAACAGTAGATAGAACAAGACCCTAGGTTTTGATTTTGTTGAAACAGATGTGAGATTTTTTTTCGCAAGAACTTGTCATTGGTTCTCCATAGTTTAAAAAAATGAAAAAAGATATGACACGTGACTATAATATTGAGGTTGAAATAAGTTTTACCTTCTATATTTGTAAGTACGAATGTAATCTTAGTTCTAGACAATAATTTTTAGACATCTAACAATACAACAACGGAGGTTGGATTGACATACTTGTCATAAACGTTATTTTTGATTTTTAAGGAAAATACAAAAACTACTTTTCTTTACTTGATAATCAAAATTCATAGTGCACAATGCAAATGCAGAAGCAGATTTTTTAGGCTACATCACAAATTTCTGTTTTGACTTCAGCATGTCTCAACAATCAAATTTTAAATTGTTGAGTGTAGGATAAAACTTCTTGAATAAAATAAAAAATTAGTTAAACAATATGTTTCTTTTGAAGTCACTTTCATGGTCTCACACTATTCATAACCTTTTTAAGCTAATGAAGGTGAGTTAGATAAAGTTTACCCTTCTTGGCCGAACAGATTTCTTTACGACGATGAGGCGCTGTCAAACATGAGACAACGGTTTTTCTTTCTCGTTTATTTTCGTTTCTCGTCTCATTTATTTCCTTGATTATTTTTTATCTCATACATTCATATACTCAGCAGATTTATACATATCAAAAAAATCAGCAATTTTACACTTACTTTTGGCACGTAAAACTACACAATTTCCTCGCAGCGCCTTACTTTGCTGCAGCTCATTACCTTCAATTTGCATCTTACAATTAGATGTTTGAGTTGAATGATGGGAGCCCATCAACTTTGTAAATTTCAGTTTTTCGTCGTCCACTCTTCGATAATTGCGGCACTAACAAAGACATTTTCAAATGAATGAAGAGCAAGGTTTCATCAACGATTTGGTAATTACTGCTTTTGTAGTCCATGAGAATAGTCTAACAAAGAATCTTGACGAAAGAGTAACGTATTTTTAAACCTTACCGTGGTTGGAAAAAGGTGTAAATGCACTATTTTTTCCTAAGCCAAAGAAAACCTGCATTTCTAGCAAAAACAGTCGCTTGCACGTACT